CATGACCCCTCTTCATTGTTTTGTTTGGATGACTCTGAAGGACAATGGCAGTCTGTAGCCTTGGCCCACACTTGGCGTGTGTGGATCTGCATCTTTCCATTGGGAGCGCTGTCCTCCGATGTCAAGAGAAGTTATGTGATCTGTGTGTGACTGAAGGGGGTTTCCACAGCTGAGAGTCAGCGCCTCAGGATGGGGGGTTTATATTATGTGGATACCTGTGTGTGTGCGCACGCGGCTGTTGGAGTTTTATAGAGCTAAGCAAATTAAAACCACACATAGTGTCTGTTTGAATGTGAGCTCTACAGGGCTGCTGTTCCCAAATAACCACGTAGTTGGAGTCGGCTTGTCATACCCACAATCTTTTATTTATTTTTTTACACATTTGTACTGAGCCTGCCACAGCGGTGCTGCTGTCTCATAGTAAGTAAGTGAAGGTCCCAGGGTCAATGAATAATTTCACATTAGAGCTGGACCTCCTGCCATCAAACCATTTTAACTATCAGCACTTCAGCAGCCCAAATAACGGTCCCAGGTGCCAATGCGAGGCCATACACCGAGGATCGGGTCACCCTGCTGTATTATCATCTCAGGCTCCCCGCTTGGTGAGACTGTGGCTCCCTGAGTGATCGAGGCCCCGTGTGTGCTAAATTGAGTTCCATTTGAAAAGCAGATGGACAGGGCTCCAGAGCTGAGGGCCCCTTCTTCTCTTTTGTGTGGTGTGTGTGTGTGTGTGTGTGTGTGTATTTAAAAGTTGAGTGTCTGTGTGCTTTCACCCATCAGCAAGGATAAAGATGTGATTACCCCAGGCTACTCCTGTCCACCCTCATCTGTGTATAGGCTTCAAGCTTACTCATGCATATCTCTACACACACACACACACACACTTTTACAGCCACACATGCACACACTCTGTACTCATTTCATCCTACCTGTTCTTTGCCTGAATTCAGCTGTTCTTGGCTTACTGGACAAATAAAAATACACTAGTCAAATCTAGATCCATGAGCAGGAAGTGAGGCTGTGTAAAAGACAGGAAGTGAGATGCGGAATCATTCAGGGGCTGGGTACAGGCCAGCTGATTGTCAGGTTGGAGTGGAAGCCAGAGCCTTACACATGAAGGTGTTGTCAGATGGAGCAACATCCTATCACATAGTGGGCTGGTTAGCGTTCAGCTATGTAATACACTTTTTGTTTGTTATTTGAAAATAAATGCGTTTTCACTGGGTGGAGGCGTGGTCTGATCCAAAGCCCCATCTCACCTCTGAAATAAGTGTAACCATACATATTTCAAATGCCATTTAAAGGCAAAGACATTGTAAACAAATGCTGGGACATCTAAAAGGCTTTTATTCATCTCTGTCAGTGATTGATGAGCTACAACAACAACAAAAAAATCTAGAAATATCAGACGTTTCCAAAGAAGCATTGAGTAACTGTGTTGGTAAAACCCACTCAGGCACACTATAGAAGATAAATGTGTTATTTTAATAAAACTGCTATGTTTATATCTCTGCTTGTTGACTGTCCTCTGGAGGTTGTGGTAACAAGTTAGTGTGAAATTCGTTTGCTGCTAATAAAATGGCACCCCACTAAGGCCACTTTGCACAGAAACATTCTTCCTTACTATAACTAGTGCCTAGTGATGTGAAATAAACTCAAGCAGACCACAGTTTTAAATGCCCCTCGTCCCTTTGACCATACTTTAGGAAACCCTGGTCTGGTTCACAGTTCTACCTTTTATGGGAGGTGGTGAATCCAGTAGCCAAGATAAGCTTAAAAGAGAAAGAGAGGGTATACTCACTGCTTTAACGCTACAGTATGCAACTTTTTTCAAATATTTTTATTGTAGAAATCTGTTCCGAAACTTGTCTTAATGTGGAGAGAACTGGAACATGGGTGTTTCCATTGCCTGCTTCTCCAGTCCACATGTCGAAGTGTCCTTGAGCAAGACACTGAAGCCCCAGTTGCTCCTGGTGATGTCACTGGAGTGTGAATGGGCAAAACATAGAAAAGCGCTATACAAGTATAAGACCATTTGCCGTTTATACCTGAAGGTGGGACTGTTGACATTCTCTCCTTACCTGGGTATGTTTGCTCTGTTCATCACAGAGCTGACATATTTTCTATTCAAGCAGTGTCAGATTCTTTGTGAATGATTGAACAATGGTGAAATTAACCTGCCCCCAGATGATCATGTTGTGCACTTTGTGTTCCATATAATACCGCCACAGTGGATTAGTCTCACTCGATCTCTGTCTCGCTTTCTCTCTCTGCCTCTTCCTGTCACTCGGGTTAATTTACCATTCCACAAGGGGCCTTGCATGACCCCTCTTCATTGTTTTGTTTGGATGACTCTGAAGGACAATGGCAGTCTGTAGCCTTGGCCCACACTTGGCGTGTGTGGATCTGCATCTTTCCATTGGGAGCGCTGTCCTCCGATGTCAAGAGAAGTTATGTGATCTGTGTGTGACTGAAGGGGGTTTCCACAGCTGAGAGTCAGCGCCTCAGGATGGGGGGTTTATATTATGTGGATACCTGTGTGTGTGCGCACGCGGCTGTTGGAGTTTTATAGAGCTAAGCAAATTAAAACCACACATAGTGTCTGTTTGAATGTGAGCTCTACAGGGCTGCTGTTCCCAAATAACCACGTAGTTGGAGTCGGCTTGTCATACCCACAATCTTTTATTTATTTTTTTACACATTTGTACTGAGCCTGCCACAGCGGTGCTGCTGTCTCATAGTAAGTAAGTGAAGGTCCCAGGGTCAATGAATAATTTCACATTAGAGCTGGACCTCCTGCCATCAAACCATTTTAACTATCAGCACTTCAGCAGCCCAAATAACGGTCCCAGGTGCCAATGCGAGGCCATACACCGAGGATCGGGTCACCCTGCTGTATTATCATCTCAGGCTCCCCGCTTGGTGAGACTGTGGCTCCCTGAGTGATCGAGGCCCCGTGTGTGCTAAATTGAGTTCCATTTGAAAAGCAGATGGACAGGGCTCCAGAGCTGAGGGCCCCTTCTTCTCTTTTGTGTGGTGTGTGTGTGTGTGTGTGTGTGTGTGTGTGTATTTAAAGTTGAGTGTCTGTGTGCTTTCACCCATCAGCAAGGATAAAGATGTGATTACCCCAGGCTACTCCTGTCCACCCTCATCTGTGTATAGGCTTCAAGCTTACTCATGCATATCTCTACACACACACACACACACACTTTTACAGCCACACATGCACACACTCTGTACTCATTTCATCCTACCTGTTCTTTGCCTGAATTCAGCTGTTCTTGGCTTACAGGACAAATAAAAATACACTAGTCAAATCTAGATCCATGAGCAGGAAGTGAGGCTGTGTAAAAGACAGGAAGTGAGATGCGGAATCATTCAGGGGCTGGGTACAGGCCAGCTGATTGTCAGGTTGGAGTGGAAGCCAGAGCCTTACACATGAAGGTGTTGTCAGATGGAGCAACATCCTATCACATAGTGGGCTGGTTAGCGTTCAGCTATGTAATACACTTTTTGTTTGTTATTTGAAAATAAATGCGTTTTCACTGGGTGGAGGCGTGGTCTGATCCAAAGCCCCATCTCACCTCTGAAATAAGTGTAACCATACATATTTCAAATGCCATTTAAAGGCAAAGACATTGTAAACAAATGCTGGGACATCTAAAAGGCTTTTATTCATCTCTGTCAGTGATTGATGAGCTACAACAACAACAAAAAAATCTAGAAATATCAGACGTTTCCAAAGAAGCATTGAGTAACTGTGTTGGTAAAACCCACTCAGGCACACTATAGAAGATAAATGTGTTATTTTAATAAAACTGCTATGTTTATATCTCTGCTTGTTGACTGTCCTCTGGAGGTTGTGGTAACAAGTTAGTGTGAAATTCGTTTGCTGCTAATAAAATGGCACCCCACTAAGGCCACTTTGCACAGAAACATTCTTCCTTACTATAACTAGTGCCTAGTGATGTGAAATAAACTCAAGCAGACCACAGTTTTAAATGCCCCTCGTCCCTTTGACCATACTTTAGGAAACCCTGGTCTGGTTCACAGTTCTACCTTTTATGGGAGGTGGTGAATCCAGTAGCCAAGATAAGCTTAAAAGAGAAAGAGAGGGTATACTCACTGCTTTAACGCTACAGTATGCAACTTTTTTCAAATATTTTTATTGTAGAAATCTGTTCCGAAACTTGTCTTAATGTGGAGAGGTGCTGTCGAAGCCTCGTGCGACCCAAATCCATGAAATATAACAGTGTCTTTTTAGCATGTGAAAACCTCCTAACAATTATCATCCAGTGTTTTTTTTTTTTTGGAGCCAAGGTGGCTTTTCTCAGAGAAAAGTGCCATGTGACTCTTTCAGTTTGGATCTGCAACCAGACATGCTGGTGAATTTAACAACATTCCTAAACAAAATGCTTATTGCTCACACAGCCGTTCCAAGCCAGTGTCACTAGATCCATGTCTGCATTCATCTGCGCTCATCTTTGTTCAGCCGTTCATCTGTACAGCATCAGCCTAGCTGTCCCTCTGTGAAGAGATGACATGACGCTTTAGATTTGTCTCTGTCCTGGCAATGAAGGTGCCTCTGTGTCCCTGTTTGTGCATGAGGCTGGGTGGATTTCTAGGCTGCCACCTGATTCACATTTCTGTAATTGAGTTGTGGCCATAAGCACCACAGTGCCTGCCTAGGCCCTAGGTAATTCCCACACCACAAAAGCACTGTTTTACTCCATTTTCACATGATTTCTGATTCACAAATGTACTGAGTGAGAAAGTCCGGTTTATTGGAAAAGGGTGGGGAGATTAAAGGGAGTGTGAGAGTGAAGGAGAGAAACGGTGGGGAGATTAAAGGGAGTGTGAGAGAAACAGAGAGTTTTCATGTAGAGAAGCAGCGCTGTGCCAGCGAGGCTAGGGAGTCACTGAGTCTGCAGTACGTGGATAAAGACCACAAAGCTCTTGGTTTCACATATCTTTCTCTCTCTTTCTTCTTCTCTCCTCAGAGCTTAGGAGCTGCAGTTGATTCAAGGGGAGATTTCCTTGACCAAGGATAGGGAGATTGACGTTTTTGGGGTAAGCCTGACTTTGTCCCTCCTGTCAGTTCTGGGTAATTGGTCTTCTCTACATTCCACACTAGTGTCTGTACCAAAACACTAGCTTCTATTTCTATACAACAGCGTTGTTCCTCCTCATGTGACTGCCATGTTGGTTTTTTGGTCCTAGTGAATGCCTGACCCATGACTGACTCATTTGGCTGCGTTTTCCCCATGTCATATCTTCTGCTTTTCACCACCTTTATGAAGGTCACTGTTCGTGCACACAGCTGAAAGTCCTGATGTACTGTATCTGGTGGCCTACATGCTGGCAATGGCAGGATCAAATCTAACCCTGGCTCGGTAGGATCAGAGCCAGAGCTGGGAACAAGGAAATTTGCTCTATTGCGTTAAAGTGATGAGGACCTGGACCATCACTCAGTTCACATTAACTAATTCATTGGCTCTGGTCGATCTTCCTTGTATCAGCTGCAAGCCAATGTGGCACCAGGAACAATAGTACTATTTATTTTACTCTGTAATTTCCCCTTATTTAATTTCATACTGTTTCGCCAGAACGTTGCCACAGTAATGACTAACAGGAAGGAGATGAAAACGTCCAGCAGTCACAGTGCCACATCCCCAGGTCTGAAGCTAAATTTAGTTTGTCCTGTCTGATTTGGCCTTCTCTTGCCTGTACAAACTTGTGTCTTCCATCCATGTCTTGTCCCATCCTGTCCTGTTCTTTCCATCTCTTCCTGGCCCCGGGAAAAGGTGATCTCTTCCTCTCATACCAAGCCTCCGAGCAAAAGCAAATAGAATGGCATGTGTAGCACGTGTGCCAGCCAGTACCCAGAAGAATGCAGACTGCCTCCGAAAATCACCTCCCACTCCTTCACTGGATGCCCACACCAGATAGGGTTTTTGTTTTTATGCACAAACACACATTCACACACACAGAGGATGTTAATGTGTGTTGATAAGAAATGACATTTTTAGCAAGCAGTTTGGTATCTTGTTGGACAAGATAAGGCTGGCACTTTAAACTTCCCCGTGTATGAAATGTGCTATATAAACAAGGCTGCCTTGTCTTGCCTTGCATGCATAGAACTCTGAGGTCCTCTGTCTTCCTTCATCTTTCCTCACCCTTTGATTTGTTTTCTTGAAGAAAGTATCCCGCTGTGTTGTCTTTCTGAGGTTAGAAACTGGCAAAAGCAGCAAGAAAAACACGTAGCAAATAAAATAGGTCCGTTTTCAAATCAGTTTGATTTTCATTTTAGTTGTTTAGAGGGCACGCTCACTTCATCTGTTCATGATGAAATGTCATACTTTTTGCATATCATGCAGTTCTTCTATTTGCTGCACTGTTTATTTGTTGCCATTTTGTTTTGTGTCCTGGCAGTGGGTTAATGCAGGACTTGAGTGCAATAACTTTCTAGTTTCTCTTGCGCGCTCTCATTCTCTGAGTTGGCAGGTTTGAGGTTTTCGTCTCCAGTTAAAGCAGTATTTAACCCCCCTCTCCCCATCATAATATAGATCCAGTCTCATAAGTGGGTTGGGAAGCGGCCCCGGCAGTTGATGTGGAACACATGCCTTTAATGACTCACTCTTTGTGTGCGGTAGGTTGGTGGTGGCTGCTGAGCCCGCTGCTTTCCCCTCTGTCTAGAATGAGGCTCTTGTCTTTTCTTTTTTTTTACTCTAGTGTCTTTTTTTCTAAAGCTGCCCCAAACATGGAAACTGAAGAGAAGTTGAAATGTGTTGTTTCTGTGTAATGGCACTTCTCTGTTGAAGCTGGACAGAGTAGAATTGTCATCATTCAGTGCCTCTGTTGGTCAGTTCCATGTTCGATTAAAAGTGCCTTGTGTGGCTATGCCATTTCTTTGAAACTCGAATCCCCTTGCTTTGTACTCTCAGGTGATAAATTTGGCTGTACTTTTCAGTGCACATGCTGGCGACCTGTCCAGGGTGTACCCCGCCTCTCATCCAGTGTCAGCTCGGATTGGCTCCAGCCCCTCCAGTGACCCTCTTCATGTTAAGCGAGTATAGATAATGGATGGATGGATGTTTGGTGCAGTTGCAACCCCATCATATTCTGATTAATCAATTTGATTTGTCAGAGTTACGGTTGAATAAACCTCCAAGCTCGGTTGGTATTTTGTGGCTGCTGAGTTCATTTATTGTGAGGCGTTTGAATACTGAGATATTATGTGGCATATTACTTCTTCACCATCAGCAGAATAGCTGAAGTGTGCTGGAAGTGCTGATGCTAAGCTGGTGTTTTCAGCAGTGAGTGTGCACTCCACCCACAGTGAAAAAATGGAGAAGTTTGACAAGACAGCACGAATCTCATTAAAATAAATGCAGCCAGTGCTGTGCATTCACCCGCTCAGTCATTGGTTTATGTTTGTAAGTGGGGAGTTTGTGGCTGTACAGTCAAAGAAGAGGGAAATATGCCAGCACGTGACAGGGTGCCGGGCGCTGTCTTACCGTCCAAGCTGACACAAATTGCTTCCTGTTTTTGCTTCAACGTAGTTCCCCCCCCCCCCCCCCCCCCCAGCCTACGTCTTTCCATCCACGCTTCCATCTTTTGTTCTTCCCCATTTTTCTCTCTATCTCTTCCTCAGTCTCGCCATCCTGGGTCCCACGCCCCTTTGTGTGGCCTCGTCTGACCTCTCCTTCCTCTGCTCGCTCACACATATGTACATCTCTCTACATCCTACCACACACACTGACTGGACATCACACATGCATGGTATGAAGACAAACGGCTCGTGTCCTTGACATAACTCCAAGTGCGGAGTGCTTTCCTTTTTGGACGGAGACAAAGTTGTGGGTGGCCACAGCACTTAAGAAAAATACTAACACATTTGCTGACCTTGCTTGACAGAAGGGCTGCTCATGTGCAGTGGAAGACTAAAGAACTGGCAAGTGTGCGGTATGACGGGCTGAGGCACTGCATTCATGTGCAAAAATGTTTGATTCACTGACAGCAATGGATTGTATTTTTGCCATGATTCAAGGAACTGTTTGTACAAATGCTTTGCTCTTTTGCATTAGTGAAAAAGTCATTTAGATTTACCTCTTTTCACCCAAGTGCTTGACTTGATGCCCATGAGTTTACCACTTGTTTGCTGTGTTTTTATGTAGCAGTGCTGAGTTTTTAGAGTACCCATCATCCACTGCCTAACAAAGTGTCACATGTAAAGCTTTAATGAAACTATGCCTTTGTGTTGTGTTTTAAATAAACTGATGTAAATCTGTTTGGGGTAATAGATAGGGCATTCTCTTAGAACTGGATATGTAACGCTTGGTACTCTAAGCTCGTTTTGGAACAGTAGAGAGTATGACGTGTGTGTACGAGTCCTGAAACTGATGAAGAAGCCTCCCTGGATTTGAGTGTTACTATGAAGCATCAACCGATACTATATGCAGAAAACCCCAGCCATTCAAGGCGACAGGGTGTAGCGAACAGTACTGAGTAGTCTGCAGTTCCTCTTTGGGGTGCCTCCTGACAGGAACTTGGCAGCAGGGAAGCATAAACAAATACCCTGTGGTGGGCTGGCAGGCCGGGCGCCGTGGTTCCCCCTGTTACCAGTTACCGTACATGCACAGCGCAGCGCAACCCAGCTTGGGCTACTCCGCTCAGCTCAGCAGCAGCAGCAAGCTTTGGGAAATGCATCATAAAGGGACAGGTGCCACCTGTGCCCTTAAAGGGGAACGGGTCTGCTCTGTATCTGCAGTCTGCTTTACTTGTAGTCATCACAGTTGGGATAGATTGATGTTAGCTATCCACTATTGTTTCAGATGGATAGGGATGTGTGTTACTCCTGGTGCACTGACCTCATGGAGTTTTCCAGCAACACCATTTAAGCACTGCCTGGGGGAGAGAAACTGCTGCCAGGGGCCCCTAAACGGTTGTTTGTGCAGGGGCAGTAAAAAGCTGTAGCAATGATGATGTAACGTTTGGAGGTTAGGGAAATGAGAGGGAGGGAAATGAGAGGGAGGGTGGGAGGGTGTGGTGGGCCCAGCAGTCATAACATGCATGCATATGGTCACACACACACACATGTGCAGTATTCACTCAACCACAACATACATGCTTACACACACACACACACTTATTTATACATATGTGTGCAGGCAGTTTTGTCTTTCTCCATCCTTCTTTTTCCTCTCTCTCGCCAGCCACAGTGGGATATTGTACAGCCTGTCCTGGTTCCTGTCCATAGGCAAAGAGGCTGCTGAAATACAGGGCCCACCACTAACAGGCCAGCCAGGCTGTAGTTGTTATATGGCATGGGGACCACTGGTAGAGCCCAGACATGCTATATGCATGTGTTTGTGAGGGTGTGCCCATACAGTTTTTTGATCAGTCACAGAAAGGTTTTTCTGCACAGCAGGAGCTGACCTCAGTGTGATTTCATAAGCAATGGTAAAGGCATTTACCTTGCTTTTAATAGTCCAATGCAGCATTTTGAACCATCCTTCAATGGCAGCGCTGGTAGAGATGGGCAGCAGAAAAGAAGGCGATGGCGAGCAGTAGGACGCAGAGGGAGAGGAGACCTTTCTTGTCCTCAGGTTCTTACCAAGCACTGAGACCCGTAGTCAATCCCCATAGACTCCCATGTTCAAAGCAGAAATAAACATGTTTACAGCCTGGTACAAAAAACTGTTTTGGTTCCTATAGCTAATTTCACTTTCCATGACAACTGTACGGGGGATGAATTTTTATACAACTTGCCAGTTAAAAATATATTGAGACTAAAAGTTATGCACAATTAGAGGAGCGGCCACTTTAAGTGACAGGCCAGCTGCCATAGATGACTGGCTGCTCAATGGGCTCAGTCACTTGTTTGATTAACTGTGTGAGCTGTCATATGATTACACCTATATGAGTGCAGGATACTTACTAAGTTTAGCATTTTTTAAAAATCATCAGTATCCTTAATTAGTTTTCTTTTCAAGGAAACCTTAACACATACTGTATGTATAACTCAGCTAATCTAAATACTTGCATCCCTACCCACATCTGATCCTCTT